AACATGATGCTTGATTTTGTTTTGTGATGTACATGAGGGGGAACACTAGAACTCATGTTGACTTGATACCATTTTCAAAATAAGTTACTATGTACTCTGGCTTTAAAAGGCAGTAACAAGTTTCAGGACTAAGGCTTTCTGTTGATGCAAGAGATCCATTTTTTTTTTTTCCAACTGACATATATGGCATATACAAATGGTTATAGGAAAGTAAGGTAAATAATGTATGTATCTTGGGTTCATATTTAATGAGAAACTTAAGTGCTAATCTGATAACTGAATAAATTTCTCCATAGCAGCTAGGAACACCATCACTATGACTAAGAAGAAACACTACAACACTCCTTCATACTCCCATGAATACACATTATCCTTCTAAATAGTCATTGTAAGGCAATTTCCAAAACTTATTCAGAGGAGATATTTAAAATGAAGAAGTGTTAAGTCGTCTAGGATTAGTTTTGACAACTTCCATGATCATATTTTTAATATTTTTAACATCAAATGCTTCTATGCTTAAGTTTCTACGTTCCTTGACATCATATTAATTACTGAGGTGTGACTATTTTGTGTTGATGTGATGAAGGGAAAGAAGGTAAAATAGTAAACTTATATTTCTTTTCAGATATTCTAAAGAGGAACTTTCTGATGGTGTTGTCGGCATTCAGAGTAATAGGCCCACAAACTTCCTGGGGATAATAAAGATGTACATTTTTCTCATCATGGAGCTTTGGTCTGAGTTTTCTGCAAGTTCAAGTCTCACTCCAAAGGTGGGGGAAAGAAGATTCTGAAGCTTCCATTGAGTAAATACTTATTTTTCCTCATTTATTTGGAATAATCTTCTTCAAAATAGACTCCAGAAAGATGGCTGCTGCTTGGATAGGAATAGCTACCAACTTTCCCTACCGTTAACTACACCTCTTGACTGGGAATATTCTCTGGGACTTGCCTCTAGCCATACGGTGTATCTGCGATGGAACACTAGTTGAACTGGAGGATCTGGACTGTTAGTCATTTACGTGCCTCAACGATTGTAACAGATCAGTCTAGTAATTTGATATCTATCTACTATTCTTTGTGATATAGAATTTGAGCAAACATGACACCAATAGAAGGTGTTTTTCAGGAAAATGAAGAAAAGATCGTAACTAGCAACAGCAATAGCATTGTACTCCAGGGCACCTTCATTATGGGTGTTCCCAGGACATGTCTATTTTGCCAAAACCAATAGAAATGGAGAGGAGGGAAGGGGTTAAAATGAAAAAAAAAAAAAAAAAAATAGGGAGAGAGAAGGAGAAGGAGAGAGCGGGAGAGAGACAAGATAGACATCATCATAAGTAACATTCTATTGAGATTCTCAGAAACTTTAATTTGTTGATCAGCCAACTACAACTTTATTCTATGTCTATGGTATACTTTATTCTTCCTCTTAAATATTGGGTTTAGTTTCTCTTTTATTCTTCAAAGCTAAGAGAATTAACAGAAAGACTAATAAAAGGTTAAATTAATGAATACTTTGAAAGGCCCTAGAGGGAGCATCTAACTTTATATTTTACACCTGGTAGGCTTGTCAGATAGTTTATAATGCAGTGATAAAAACAGTATAAAAATAATGGATTTAAAATTGTCACTACACTATTATGTAATTATTTTCAAAGAAAGATATAGGAAAGAAGTGACTACTTTGAAGTACAGAAATGGAAAAGAGAATGGTTTTCTACTTAGGTTGTGTGTATATATTGTATATGTAGGTTTCATTGCTTTTTTTGAGACAGCCCATTAATCTGAGAAAACTTTTGAGCATTCTTTGTGATAAAGATATATTTCACAATAGTCACATTGAGACAAAATTCTGAAAAGAAAAGGTATGGATGGAAGCACTTTTTGCCCTCATTTGAGTTTCTTAAATATTACCTTCTTTTCCTTTTCATAACCTGCCAATTCTGTTTTCTTCTCATTACCTTAAATAACTAGCAAGAAAACCAGGTTCTACTAGTTCAGGACAAGAGTTTGGCAGAAGCAGTGGTAACCCGTTGAAACCTGTTGCTGTCGAGTTGATTCCGACTCATAGTGACCCTATAGGACAGAGTAGAACTGCCCCGTACGGTTTCCAAGGAGCACCTGGTGGATTCGAACTGCTGACCTTTTGGTTAGCAGCTGTAGCTGTTAACCACTACACCACCAGGGTTTCCTAAGCAGTGGTAGGAAGGTTATTTCCATTTTTTTTTTTTATAACAATGATAACATCATCTCACTCTAAATTGATACCCAATGCTTAAGCTCTAGAATGAACAAGGGGATAATAACAGCATTTCACTATTATTTTATCTTCATCTTTACCTCACACATCAGCATTCATACCAAGGCCATTTCTCTTCCATTTTCAGATTGTGTGCTTTGTGAGCTGAGTAAATGTTGCCTTCCATGTGATGAAAGAATTACTTTTTCCTAACTCATCTTTTTAGCCCACACCTACCTGTCTAACGGTTAATTAGCCATTGTCATCTACTTCTCTCCTAATAACAGAAAGAAATGACTCTAATGGTTTTACTTTCTTTGCTTGGGTCTAATATTCATGAATCTTGCTCTCTTCTTTTCAGAAGAATTTAGTCTTTTATTCTGAAAGCTCACTATAGGAAAGGCAATGACACCTGGGGTACAGATGTTTTTCTGAAGTCACTTGAAAGTCCTTCACTTAGGAAAGAGCTGTATAAAAAAATCTGGCTCTGGTCCATTTAATATAGATTATTTTTGAATAGCAGAACTAATGACACTAACACCTTTTCTTCTGAAGAAGAAACGGAAAGATGAAAGATGTAAGAAGGCATGTTGGATTTTTCAGATTTTGCTGAATGTATAGCAGTATCCTTATTGTTTTCGGTGAAACTATGGACGGGAGAATGTGTAATAAAACTGCATTATTTGACAGATTTAGACAGCTGGCTCCCTCACAAGAAGTTCACATTTTGTTAATGTCACCCACGTTGAATAAGGGATGATTAGATGGTAAGGTCCATTTACAAAAATGGTTGTCAGGACATTTTTTTTTTTTTTAATTGTAAAACTTTCTGTGATGGAATTCAGTAAAAGGGCTACGAAGAGAAAGAAATGGAGACAAAAGATTGCTATTAACCTACAGATGCAGGCTACTGCAGGGTTCATTGCAAGATTTGTCACACTGTTGGGCCAATGAAGTGTTAGTGTGACTAGAAGGGACCACTCCTTTTCTGGGGTAAGAGGGCAATTTGGTCTCCATGCTCATTTAATTCTGAGACGTCTTTGAATAGACTGTCAATTGAATCTAAATTGTGCAAAATTATGCATGCACTTTTTAATGCAGGCTATTGTTCACTAAGCACTGAACCAAGATTTCTCAACCCATTTTCATTTGGCATGAGGTCACTTGAAACTTAAGTAATCATATATGGAAGACAAGTGCAGTGTACTTAACCAATCTTTCTGCATTGTGTTTTCTACATAAACGTTCACCGTGCTTTAATTACAAATCTCTCACTTTAAAACAACAGAGAAATACTCGCTACACGACATTTTTTAATTGAGGCTCATATCCCTAAAGGTAAGGAGCAGGTTTGGGAAATCAGCCTGTGCGGCATGATCTATATAACGCTACGATTAGATTCTGGAGGAATGACGTTTATAGAAGGACAACCACAGTGGGTGTGCACTTGTCATGGAAAGATGTGTTTTTTTCAGTAGTGCAAAGAGTCCTTATCATTTTGTTACAATTCAAACATGGAGAGCTGGCCTTGAAAACCAGTAAGAGAACGTCTACCAGACTTTTTGCAGTTTGAAATTAGAACGTGTCATTTCTTTAAAGACCTGAACAGAACATTTACAGAAAATTTATTGATACATTGACCAAAGAAAGGATTTTCATTGTGTTCTCCAGGAACATATACATTAGAAGTCATATTTGGCAAGAATTATTATATTAAAAAATTTGTACAAGTGATAGCTTACATAGGCAAGGTTTGCTAAAAACGAATGAGCGCTTCTCCAGTGAGGTTCTATTCAGTGTGAAATCTGCAACATTCTAATCACATAGACTGATGTCTTGCTATGGTGAAAAGCACTTTACGAGTGTTTAATGCTGGAATTTTATAAGGATCGGTTGTTTTCTTGCTTTTTTCATCCGTCGTTAATGATTACATGTTGGCACAAGGATACATTGCTAGAATAGATCCACAGCACATTAAAGACTGTTTGCTTTCTCACTTCCCTTCTTTCCAATTAAGTTGGTGAAAAATGTAACTTTAGTATTTTACAGGACAGGGTAAAGGTGTTTCATCTAGGTGATGTCTATATTATAAAAATAAAATAAAAAATATAAATATGTAACACAAACCCAGTGCCTATTGTTAAATAAAATATACAATAAAAGCAGACCTTTTAAGAAGATTGATTTTAAAATATGCCATTATGATTTAATCATAAAACACTTGAGAACAATCTTGAGACTAAGCTTGAGTAACCAGATTTCTCTGCCAGTAAGAAAGTAAGTGCCTAGTGTTCTGTAATTGGATACATTGATAAAAATGAAGATTACAATTTTACATCAAGTTGTTCATTTCAGAAATCCCATCAGGGGAGTTCTGAAACATTTCTCGTATTTATAGTCCTTTAATATAAAAATATAGACATTTTTATTAAATCCATCAGATTGCACAGTAATGTTTCAAAACTCCGTTAAAGTTGACTTTAGTTATTACAGACAGAAAATTCCTGGGAAGTCAAATAAATTTTTTCTGGTGACATAAAAACTCCGTTATCAATATACAATGGAATTTCTGTGTAAATTACTCCACACAAGGAAATATATATTTTTAAAATCCATCTGTTACGCAACCGCACTTAGAGGGGTTATAAGCGTGTGTGTACGTGCATATGTGAACAAACATGCCAACATACACACACAGGATCTGCACATTTCTGGAAATTATCTTTAAATTAATAAAAGAAAATGAAATCACAGGAGTGTGTAGCAGGATAACAGTCTTTCTTTTTAATGAACAAGATCAAAAAGAAATGCCCATTGGAAAGGAATATTCAAACAGTCCCAGAAACTATACAATGTAACTTGTTAGATCCAGCAAATAAGATGTCATGTCAATGATCTGATCAAGAATACCTGCCCTGGTCACTCTGCGGATGTTTCTGTCCACTTGTTCACACTGAGGGCCAAAATATCCTTTTTTACAGAGGCACTTGTTCGGCCTAACACAGACACCTCCATGACGACAGGCAGGCTCACATTTTGCTGGGAGAAAAAAAAAAAAAAGCAATAAAATTACACTTTCATTCTGTAGGTCAAATAACAGCCCTTAGTTAGTCTGAGGCCAACAAGTGTTTGATGAACAAAGGAAGAGAGGGAAAGAAGGAAGAAGACAGCGATCCAAGAGATAATATATGCTGGTGGCAGAGAAAGTTTTCAGATACCCAATTATTTAGGGGCCAGCAGTCAGCAGAGAATGAAAGATACTTCTAGAGAAGCAGAGATCATGGAAAACAATGTCAAGATTTTGGACAACTGACTCTGTTTAAAATCAGGATTTCAATTCTTTCAGATCTGTGCTTCATATGGGCATTTCCAACAGAGAGCTTTCCAAGCAACTCCATGTTCCCATAGCGCTAAACCAGGTCCTCAATGTGGGAGGAGCAGGCCTAGAAGGCCCAGTGGTTTCAGCATTTCCAGCCCAACAAAAAGGAATGGTGAGTTTTACGTTTTAGTTAGATGGAACACCCAGCATGGGGACCCCCTTGGATTCCTCCTTCCCCCGGCTTCCAGGGGGCCTACAGCTGTGGGGTTGGCTCTCTGATTACACTTGGAAGCCCATGTTTGAGGTCAGTGCAGCTGGCCAGCAAAGGATATTCTGAGCAATCCTTTTCAGGGTTACTCTACTCAGCACAGAATCTCTTCATAAAAGAATTTTTACTGCTGTGATACAGGTGGTGTTATGGATTGAATTGTGTTCCCCAAAATATGTGTTGGAATCCTAATCCCTATGCCTGTGGGTATAACCCTGTTTGGGAATATGGTTTTCCTTGTTAGTTAATGAGGCCATATCAGTGTAGGGTGTGTCCTAAACCTAATCACTTTTGAGCCATTAAAAGAGCAGATTAGAGACAGACAGGGCATGTACTGGGGAAGGCAGACGCCATGTAAGGATGGCCAAGGAACCAAGGAATGCCCAGGGCTGCAGACAAGGAAGGCAGCCACTTGGAGGTGACCCTGACTGGGGCTTTTAGTCTCCAGAACTGTGAGAAAATACATTTCTGTTCTGTGCTATTTGTGTTACATCAGCACTAGCTAACTAAAACAGGTAGGAAATATAAAGATTTACTGCTAAAATGAGATGGAAGGATACAATTGGATATATAAATTGTCTTTTGCTGATAGGATAAATTTGCAAAGTGCAGCCACTGTAGACAATAAAATTCCTTAAATACATTTCCTTATACTTTCAAGGGACAGGGTCATTTTCACCTTTTCAGATACATTAAATCAAAATTCAGAGAGGTTTTTGGCTACTTCATAGAAAAGAAAGGACAAGAAGAAAATACACTATTTTCTCTTAAATTTGGGTGAGACAAGTAAACTACATGGGTATATATGAATAAAGTTCTTGCTTAAGTAAAAAGTATGAGTAGATTACTTTTATGAAATGGTTCTAATTCGTCTTATGTAGTCAAACTTCAAATTTGATTTAGTGGAAAGGTTAAAGTATTTTACTGAAATAAAACTTCGTGCTAACTCAAAGAAACTATTTTTGCTTATATCACATATAATTATTACCTTATAATTGCACTTACATTCAAAATAATTTGTTCACCCTCAGTTTCAAACAGTCTGTCACTAGAAGGGACTCAATAAATATTTGTTAACTGGTGACTTGAGGTGACTTAAGCGGTTAGGGACAAAACAAAATGGACACTAGATAAAAGCAGCAGGAAAAGTAGATATTGTCAGGCATCAAAGAAAGCCTGAAGGAAGGAAAGAGAAAAGAGGGAAGATATATTATCAGAATTTAAAATGCTACATTGGAACACTGAATTTGATTCTCAATTTTTTGGCAAGTAAAAGGGAGATAAATAATATAATGTCAATATAATGTAAGCATTCGTTTTAAATAATGCAATTACTTAATTTGAGTTTCAATTATAATGGCTATTTCCTAGGTATCCCATAGTATTAATCAATCATGTAATGTTATCAGTGATGAAGCAAATTAATCTTAAAATGTATACTGTATATGTATATGTATATAATTTGGGCCATTTTTAGACAATAAATAAAGCAGACAATTTTTGACTATATATTTTGAAACAAATGCATCTTTAGAATAAACAAAAAAGTATGAATTAAAATATTAAGACTTTCTTTTTTTGGCAAGAGGCACTTTAATATTTGCAATAGCAGAGGTCAAAATCTTTTCTAAATAACATGTATGTGATGGTTGTTGACATATTTTTAACATATGCATCTTAAACTTTAGATATCTAAATTTATGTAACTTTTCTTACTTCATATGGAGTGGAATGTAAACATCATTGCCTGTAATTGAGGAAATCGCAAGTCTAAGGATATAACAACCCTGGAATAAATCTCCTTTGCTCTCCGAGCAGCTGTACAACTAGTTGATGGTTCACAAGTGGGTGGCAAAAAGAATTAAAAAATCTCATAATATGCCTCTAGATAGTTGCGTTTTCCCATCTTATTTAATAACACCCACTGAAAAACCCTGTTTTTAGTGCACCATAGCAAGCAAGCAGTAAAGCTGGGGATGGCATTTACGGGGTGTCTGGAAAATGCTGGCACTTGGAGAGGGGTTTTGCCAACACTAAGTCATTGGCTGGTGTGAAATCTCAGAACCCACGACAGAGAGCACTGGAGAGGCTATCTAGTTGTGCTGTTCTCCTATGTCACTTTTTGAAAGCACTCAATAATTTCAATATCTATGATGCTTCTGATTAACTTACATAAGTGAACAATGCACATTAAGAAAATGGGCAAGATTACATTTACCAGTTCAGAAACAAACCGAGCATTAATGACTGTAAATGGCTAAATACTTCTGAACACTAGATAATTCTAGAAGAAATAACTGATGCCAAGTTCTTGAGTGCACAGGACTGTCCCATCCCTAGTCTTTCCGGTGATGACGGAAATACTAACCGATTCTGCAGAAGTCTCCCTCCCAGCCTGGGCTGCAGCAGCACTTTCCCGTGGGGGTGCAGTAGCCGTTTCGACAGAGCCGGGAGCACTCCGACGTCAGCGTCTGCGCAGAATGAACCGTGGCTCTGCATTCCTCGGGCATTAAAGGTCTACGTAAAAAGGCAACAGTGAAACATGTATTTTGGCTGAAAATCAATATTGGAAAGAAATCTAGTTTGTTTTTTTCCCGTAGTATCTTACAAAGCAATGTCTCCTGCTTTTCAAAGAGAACTGTAAGTGACTCAGTCAGAAAGATTTACAACTTTCTAAGAATAGAAAAGGAGTCCCTGGGTGGCGCACATAGCTAAGCGCTCCACTACTAGCCAAAACTTCGGCGGTTCGAATCTACCCAGAGGCAACTGGGAAATCAGGCCTGCGATCTGCTTCCGAAAGGTCACAACCTTGAAAACCCTATAGAGCAGTTCTACTCTGCACACATGGGGTCGCCATGAGTTAGAATCAATTCAATGGCAACTAACAGCAATAAGAACAACAGAAAATGCACTCGAGTAAGGAAACAAACTAAGCAGTCTTGAACCAAAGGGAATACATTAAACATTCCAAGAAATTTTATCATGAACAAAAATCATTGATTAAAAATACGTTTAATTATACTGATATTTGACATTTGGTAACTAAGAACTCCAGCAATTGCAATTTTTAAATTAAAATATGTATAGCTATTTTAAAACGCTTTTTCCAGATCTACAAAAATTTTTAGGAATAGTATCTGACAAAGGTTTCACTTGTTATGGGCATACTTAGCAATATCACAGGGCTGAAGGTATTTATCAAAATGAACACTTGTAGCCTAAAAAGCTTGGGAATAAGTTTCTATTTCAGTTTTACATCTCCTTTCAGATAATTTTTTCAGGCTGCTTTTTGTTTTAAGGGTTATCATAATATATTTGTATTTGTATATACTATTGATTCAAAAGTTTAAACTCTTCATGCAAACAAACATCCATATTTATGGAGACTATATGTATGCATATATGTATATGTATATATATAAATTTTATTTTGTCTTGCTATGAAGAAAAAGAATGCTAACAGCAGCAAACAGAAACATCTCATTTGCAATGTTAAAAAAGTTAATTGCGCTACAACTGCCATCATTTATAGAAGAAACCAAAATACCACGGAACAAGATTTTTATGATTCTTACTGTTTTTGAAACAAGATGCTGTCATTCCAGCTGGGTCCGGCTGGAATCATCAGCCACAACTGCTCATTATCTAATCTTTGGGGAAAAAAATGTGCAGTGGCACTTTTCTATCAGTTACTGTTCCCTGTGCCACCACAATGTGGTGAGAAGGCTCTTTTCAGTTAAGGAATGTAAACAAGATGTTTTCATCACCAGTCAAATCACCACCATCAGGATGGCCAACCCAGTAGTGAGTCCTCCTTAAATACCATAGCACAGAAGGTGATAATTATAGGTCAAAACTACCACAAGGGGTAAATTATATCGCTTTCTGAGATAAGCAAAGTAATTAAGTCCTGTAGACTCAGTTTTCTAGAGATAGGTTAGCTTGTTATGTCCCCATGACAATATGAACAGTGATAGTAATTTGGGGCCTGACTTCAGGCTGCTTCTGTAGTGACTTAAAACCATATTAAATGTGTAGCCACTTCTCTAGCTTCTCTTCCCCAGTCAGAGTCCCACCGTATGTTGAAAGGATTGTGTTTTGCAGCTAACATGACAATTCAGAAAACTCCCTTAAATCTATTCACCTTTTCATTTAAATCTAGAAATGATCAATTTATGTCAAAGAGACTTAAAGGCATTCCATGGACTGAGCATATTTTCATTCAGAAAGCATTAAAAACATTTCCCATGTGTCCCTGAGTCTTCTTTATGTAAATAAGGGCAGGGTGATGTAAATTAAGGAAAATGTTAATTAGCTATGCCAGTGAAAGCAAGGACATTATCTAGGCCTTGTTATTGTTCAGGAGCCCTGGTGGCACAGTGGTTAAGAGCTTGGCTGCTAACCAAAAGGTTGGCAGTTTGAATCCACCAGCTGCTCCTTGGAAACCCTATAGGGCAGTTCTACTCTGTCCTATGAGTTAGAATTGACTGGATTTTTGTTTTTGTTATGGGTTTTTGTTTAGTTTTGTTATTGTTGAATACCCAAGTCTGCTTGATCTCTTTCGCACATAGAAGTCTTATTTTATTTGTAATCAGGAAGTTCCTCTGAGTCACAGTCCATGGTCATTTACCACATGTCATTCAGTAAGTAGGGTCACTGGGTGGTGCAAACGGTTGACGCGCTCCCCTGCTAACCAAAAGTTTGGAGGTTTCAGCCCACCCAAGAAGCATGAGAAGAAAGGCCTGGCGATCTACTTCCAGAAAATTAGCCATTGAAAACTTCGTGGAGCACAGTTCTACTCTGACACACGTGAGCTGGAATCACCTTGATGACAAGTGGTTAGTGGTTATTCAGCAATCAGGTATGATGCTAATTTTACTGGTGACTAAAATTGAAACATTTTAATGCATATCTTTACCTTATCTCTGTTTATTACTGACTCATTTACCCATTTTTTGACTTTTTTAAGGAAAGAGACTCAGAAGTAGAGTGTGTTAAAAACATATTTCATGTTATACATGACGCAAATATGCAAGCACGTAGCGCACACACTACTCCGCAAGATAGTCTGTGCCTGATCAGATGAATCTAAACAGACACCATTTAAATCAAGGATGTAGGTAAATCTAGTTAAACAGCAATAATCAGAAGGTGTTGCCTGTTTGAGGCCAAGGATGAATAGGGATCCAGTACTGAAGTTCAATTCTTCAGGACAGGGTACCTGATCCTAGTTACCTGCTGATCCTCCAGTAGATGCTTGGACTATTTTTCACTAAACTTTCAAATATGTGGAAACTCAGATTACAGAGGGGATTCTAAGCTGCTTTTTTTTTTTTGCCTAAGATTCAGTAAATGCCTATCTATCTGTGAATGTAATTATCTCATACTTGGGCTTGTTTACTTAAGCTTATATCAGACCTTGAGGCTGTCATTATGATTCCCTTAAGTTTTTATTTAAAACACCTGGGAAAATTAGCTTTTTTTTTCCTTTTATGAAATTGATAAGTAACATTCCTCACTTAGCGTGTTAAGCAGTTCCTCTCCTTCTCTTTAAAACTATTATTCTGTTGGAGACTGCTTAACATGAAAATTACATAAAAGATAGCCTGTCTCTTAAAAAGCTTCACTTAGGGAGTAGATTATCCTATCTCCCTTTCTTGTCTCCACTGAAATGAAAGCTTTCTGAGGGTAGAAACTACACATTCAAACTTCTCCAAGTCCAGTCATTCACTCAGGTAAGGACTAAGCTCTTCGCTGGGCTAGGACATAAACCAGGCAGTGTCCTGATCCTCACAGAAACCATGGTGAGGAAGACAGACATGCAAACACAAAAGTGTAATTCAGTGTGATCCTTATTATTATGATACAGATGTGTATGAAGTATCATAGAAATACAGATAAGGGAGCAACTAGTTTAGGATTGTGGGACATTATAGGAAGGAGATGACATTTAGGCCACCAAAATATTTTATCTTGTCAAACTACTTTATTCATAGCAGCTAAGGAAATACTGTATAGACATTCAATACATGTTTATTAAATTGAATTGAATGTATATAGTATTAACTTTCTCAAATACATTTTCTGGAATATAAACTTCACGAGGACAAATACTTCCTTTTGTTCTTTTATGTCTCCCCAGGACCTAGAAGACTGTCTAGCAATGGAAGATGCTTAATAAAAATCTGTTGAATGAAAGAATGAATGAAAAGGGTGTTTATTTCCTTTTTATGTTATTGGGTAAAAGTATTAGGAATGTATGGACTATTTAGGGGAGGGATATCATTAAAGACGCAATGGTTATGCATTTGGCTGCTAACAAAAGGTCGGCAGTTCGAATCCACCAGCGCCTCCTTGGAAACACTATGGGGCAGTTCTACTCTGTCCTATAGGGTCGCTATGAGTCAGAATCAACTCGAGGGCAACGGGTTAGTTGCTAACCAGAAGAACTAGATGGTGCCTGGCTACTCTATTGACCGTTCTGATCAGGGCCACAATAGATGGACCCAGACAGGATGGGAGAAAACACAGAACAGAACTCAAATTCATAAAAAGTCCAGACTTACTGGACCATTTGAGACTGGAGGACTCCCTGAGTCTATCGCCCTGAGATACTTTTTAAACCTTGAACCGAAACTGTCCCCTGAGGTCACCTTTTGGCAAAATAACAGATTGACACACAAAATAAAGGATATTATTCTTGAGTACGGTGCACCATTAAAAAACTATCTATAAGAGACCAAAAGGTCAACAATTACTCTAAAGCAAAGATGAGAAGATAAGGGTCCAGGGAAACTACAGTACTGGAAACAGAACAACCAGAATACAATTAAAGAGAATGTAGACAAATTGTAAAAAATGTAACTAATGTCCATTGAATGGGAACCTAATCTGCTGTATAAAGTTTCACTGAAAACACAAGAAAATATTATTTAAAAAAATTTAACTGCTATACTTCTATATTGTAAGCCTAAAAGTAAATACACTAGCTGTATTTCTCTGTATTGCCTAAATTAACTCAAGTCTTTCAAAATTTTTCTAAGGCATGGTTAAATTCATTTTAAATGAAGCATTCTTATACTAACTATAACCATAGTAAATAAACAAAAGGCTAAGAAGTCAAGCTCAGCATGAAATAAAGAGATATGATTGTTTTCTCCTCCAGATGGGAATTAAGTCAACATATCAAAATTCGCTTTTTTTTCTAGTCATGGATTTGGTAAAGTCTGGCAAAGATTTTTGGTGACAGCAACCAGCTCCCTCCATTCATTCTTTGTTCTGGTGTCATTTCTCCCTTTTGTTGAAGAGAATAGGGTCCTTGTGGGTGGAATGATGAGAAAAGGAAAGGGAATGAGACAAGTAAATGTGAACTTAATTATGATCGTTACCTTGACATAGATGATCTTATGTATACATAAATACCACATATGCACATCTAGATGGAATCTAAAATATAGATTATATACCTGTGTTTTAATGTATGGTCTAACAAGAACCATTTAAAGAGGCTTGTTCTT